AGGACAATGAGAAAGGAATATTATAACATCATCCTTGCCCTTCAAAGTCTCCATCTTTCTAGTAGTGCTACAGTTCTCATTAAACTTCTGGTGGTACAGAGGAAAGAGAATAGGAAGAACCAAGGTTGTATGCATTATGTTACAGTCAAGTAACTTGTTTGAATGTATACAAGTTGTCTGTGTGATTACCAGACACATTGAGAGTCCAAGGCAAACAATGGGTTATTTGATTGTCCTCATTAAATTGATGGCACCACAAAGCAGAACAAGATTGAGTTAAAAAAAATTGCAATGATGAAACAAGTTTCAGCTTAAAGTTAGTATAGTAATTCCTCTTATTTCAGGACAAATCCTCATTTTGTTCCTCGTGCCTACAGAAGCAAATTAATTCAGGAGGGCTGTTCCTCAAGATGTAATTGTTTTCCTCCACACTACCAAATCATTCAAGAAGGGCAACCAATCAATGGGTATCCTCTTCCTGGTCAAATATGTCTTTCTGATAAGAACAAATAAAGGAAGGCTGGTGATATCATCCACATCAAGCTCTTCCAAAGTCATGCTTCTTCTTTTTTACTTTTATTAACAGAGGATGAGTAAGTGCTGGTTAAATAGTAGGTTGCAACTCCCAAGTTAACATTGCTTATTATCTCAAGCCCCCTATTTATATTTTCAAACCCTACACCCATCCCCATGATGACCTGACTCTACACAGAGACTTATAATAAAATGCATAAAGTTGGGAGACTAAAATCGGTAAGTAGTCTAACGCAATTTCTAGACCAACTAGTAAGGAGGTTGCTTGGATGGAGGGCTATTTTTCAGTAATTTTGGAGGTTTTGTACTTCCAACTTTTCTTTGACTTAGCTAAACATGCCACACATGTGATCAATAGCAGAAGTCTAGATCCTCTAGAGAGGGATGAGACAAGCTGATCTAAAGAAGAGTGAACCTGATTTTCTGTTCTCCCAACTTTTAAAAAGGATTATTTCAGCACTGTTGTTGATTTTTAGTGGAATGGAGATCTAGTGACATCAGGTTTATGTAAAATTTTCAGTAGGAATAGTGAGAATGGAGAAAAGCAAATCACTAATTTAAACAATATTCACTATTAGACTTGGGAAGGTACCTGAATTGTTAAAATTCAAGAACCCAATGAAGTTTTAAAAAGTGTTGTGCCTTGAGTGGCAGCAATTTAATTTTTTCAGATTAGCAATGTTCTTTAATCTGAACTCATTTCCACCAAATGAAGCATAACTGCCATAGGGAATTTCCAGGGAGTCTCAGGCTTGAAGCCTTCATGGGAAGTACCTCTGGAATTGATTTATCTAAACAATGTGTACATATCAGGTCCTGTATAAGCATGGACCTGATAGGAAGAAGAAAGTAGGTAAGTATCTGAATACCCTTTTCTTATGAATAATAAATTGTTTTCCTGCCAATAGCATAACTTTCCTTTTTTTTTATTGTTTTGGCAGGGGCTAATGAGAATGAGAAATTCCTTCAGTCACTCACTTCTAAAATACATTTGTGCATAATGAACTCACTCTAAACAACTTACTATAGTGGAGAAAAGAACAGGAAAATAAAGGTCCATTACTAATATACAGACCACTGGGGGGAAAAATCCAAAACAAAACATAAGCTAATAAACAAGGAGGTTCCTAGCTGTCCTACTTCTGATATCAGGCTGGTTATATGTCTGATGTGCTCTGCTTTTTTGTTCTTGCTACCCACAGAGGATTTCTCTTCAACTAAAGTACAACAGATGGCTATAATGATTCACTTTTCTCTAGTCTTGCCTCATTTTATTTTGTCTGTTAAGAGGTAGAGAGATTTCTTTTTCCAGATGTTCTGATTGTATTTAGAATTGTCAAATACGGGTGAGTCTAAGAAGCAAGTTACCACAAAGGAACTGTGACTTCATAACTTTCTTTATATTGAGATTAAACATCCTCTGGAGGAAAAAAAAAAGCACTACCATCACTAATCCTGGGGACTGGGGTCTCTCATAACATAACTGTTGAGGCTATTGGCTTCATCCTCTCAGGGGCTGTACATTCTGATTATGTGAATTTGGTGACCAGAGGCTAAAAGGATGAAATGAGAACAGGGAAGAGAAAATAGCAAAAGGACAGACTGAGGAATGGGATTTTGACTTCTCCACATTCTTACAGAGGATCTTACTAATAACAATTTCATCTTTGATCACTCTAATGAAACCACTGGTCAACTCACTCATTTGAGCCTTAAATACATGAATTTATTTATACATAGAAAATAAATAATTTTTCTTAGCCTCCTAATCTCTTTCTGCATTATCAATTTTTCTATGCCACCTAACCATAAAAGTGAAAATAAATATTTTGAATTTTTCATAATTAAGGTATCTTAATTTTTTATCTGGGGGACATTTTTATTGATTTTCCCAAAGCAGGAACAATACCAGATTATCTAAACATATGATCACATAAATTTTAACTGGGGTTGGATTGTTATCCTTTTAGTCTTTTCATTTTCTGGTTGCATGACCAACTAATGCGCATTTCCCTAAATAGATAATTTGTCTGTTGAGAGCTTCAGGGAAAACTCTCTGATAAAATTACAGCATGGGGACCAGCATTGGCCAGAATTTCTTGGACTTGGCAGTTAAAGCAAGGAATCAGAGAAATTCCGATCACTTGGTACAAGTTGTATATGTTACTTGAAAGAATAACACAGTCTATATCTTTTTCTTATTAAAAGAGGAAAAAAGAAATTTAAATTCATGTTGTTTGATCAAGATAATTATGAGAAAAAGTTCTTTGTTCCCTTTAGGCTTTTAATAGGAACACAAAATAGTAAATTTAAACAAACATTACATATTTAATATGGTAGCTAAAAAGTCTTTTTATTCTAAAATAGACTCTGCTAACTGGACAAATATGTCTCTGACAGTTAAAATTTAAATATTTTTATCACCTAAGAGAAATAATCCTGATTAGGAACTAAGATCCTAAAATTTGAACAAAGGCCAAATTGGCAGTGGGATGCACCGAGGGAAAAACAAGCCAACCATAGGAATCCTAGATACTGTAAGCCAATTGCAGGATTTTATGGTAATACATTTTACAGAACTCTGGAAGAAGAATGGATGTTAGTTTCATTTTAAGCTAATTCTGGGTTCCATTTGTACAGAAAACAACCAACCCATCAACTTATATTATTAACTCAATCAGAGTAACCGGTGTTTCTTGGCAGACAAGTAGTATCTTCCTATGGTTCTAGAGTATATAAACCAATATAGTCTGTTAAGTCCAGGTATGAACTCTAAAATCCTTAATCTACCAAGATCCACTAAGTTGCTACCACTGATTACTTAAAAACACGTGGTTCTAAAAACTAAAATGAAAGGAAACCAGTAATTAAAATGCTTTCCCCCCATCATTCTGGCAAAGAAGAATATTTGGCAAAGCACAAAAAGGAATAAAAGCCACAAAGTAGGTAATGATCCAAATTTTTTTTTTCTAGATTTACAGTGGGAACAAGTTTAGGGAAGACTATCCATATTATATTAAACAGAAAAGAAGGAGCTATTTAAAAAAAAAAAACTATTCTTCACATGCTCGCTCCTTGACACAATAGTATTAACAGTAACTTCTTTAAGTGATCCACCCGTACAGTCATGTTTTGGATACATGGAAGGAGCACTAACAACAAGGAGGCCATATTACAGATACAGCAGCCATGTTCTTAAAGACTGGATTAGTGATTATAGCTGCCTCTATTAATTTGTGCCTTAGTCTAAAATTAAGGCTGAAAACAATACAAGTATTTTACTTCAATGCAGTTACTGGTGTTGACGATATAAAGCAAGGCTAGGCAGAAAGAGGACAGATAGTCAATAGCTGACTATAGATACTCAGTGGGACTTCTGTCAATAAATCCAACAAAGGTAGAGATGGACATTTTAAAACCTTGATTTGGATCTTAGAATTACAGAAAGCACATTTTAGTTTACATTGGTACTATTTCTGTTATTTTTTGGTAGATAATGAAGGCTGGCCCCTTCCCTCCAAATAATCCATGTTTTTTAAAAAAAGATTTGACTAGCAATCAAAGTTTTAGAACCTATTTTGATGGGTAAGGGAAGATGTAACAGGATAAAGACTAAGCAAAAATAACACAGGCAGTGTGTATGAATCATGACTGAATAAAAAAACTTTCCTTTAAATGGCAGACCTAATAAACTGAAAAGTGTATTCCCTCCTTATGGAAGAACATGAGATCCAGTGATCAGTAACCTCTTATAACATCTGGGATGAATGGCTACAAAGGCCTCATGTGACCAATGCAATATGAAAGATAAAGGTTAATTTGTTCTATGTGCTCAGGAAGATGACCCCTCCCAGGCAGATTCTTATTTGCTCAGAATCTTGTGGAAGTAAGTGAAACCTTTAGAAACTCCCTATTTAATGACGGTGAAGAGTCTCTGAAACAGCCTGGTTTACTAATCCAAACTCTGAGATAGTAAGGATCATGATACAACTATCCTAAACTCCAAAGCTATGTTATGATAGAAAATCTGGCTACTTCTGCAGTTGAGCATGGAGTATGGGTAGATGTATTCCATCTCTATTTTTTTTTAAATTCTCAGAATCTTTTTCACAATTTTTACTCAAAAATGTGAGGATGACCTGTCATGAGAGACATGTTCAGGTTTCCAAAGCAGCAGCAACTAAAAAAATCAGAAACAGAAACTTTGGTTTAAAATTTAAAAAAAAAAAAAAGAAAGAAATTGTCAGACTAGTACAAGTTGTCTCATGAAAGAGGCATTGCAGGATGGAACCCTTGTGAAAAACATCCAAGGATAGATTCCCCTACCTTCTTTTACTGTTATTACCTTCATTGCACAGGACACAAGATTGTTCTCTTATGGTTCAGTATTATAAATAATGAGAAAATTATATATAACAAATACATCCTATTTCCCAGTTTCCTCCCCCCTCCCACCCTCCCCCAAAATAAGAAAAGTTACATCAAATTAAAAAGTAGCTTCGTGAATGAAGGTACTGCTCTAAGTGCACTTTCCCTGCAAGTGCAGCCAGTGCCGTTGCGCTGGATATGAAGGAAAGAAAAAAAAATTCTCAAACAAATTTAAAAACCAATGTCCGGTTTTAACCAGTCAAAACCGGGCCAAGCAGAAGCCGAGTAACCTCGGTCTGTCCCATTATTGGGTCCTTGCTGTGCCTGTTCTTCATCCAGATAGTTTTCTATGTCCTTGTGATTGTAAACAATCCTTAAGATAAATTGTGGTTTTTTTTTTCCTTAAAATGTCCTCTGATTGGCAAAATGAAGTAAATATTTATTTTAAAAGTAGAAAATTAAAATAAAACCAGAAGAAAAGAAAAGAAACACAGTGAGCTTGTTTGGAGTCCATAGGATCCGATCCAGAAGAGCTCGGAAAGTGTGTTAAATGTCTTCTCCTGTTTTTAGCTGGAAAGGTACCAGAGGCTGAGTTGGTCGAGGAAAGGGTTGTTGAATGGGGGAAAAAAGGATGTAGATTTAGACTCAATTCATGTGTTAGCTTCATCATCTGTGTCGTCTATCAATACCTTAGTATCACGAGACTTGGATCTAGGAATAAGAAAAGAAAAAAAAATTACAAAGCTCAGTTATTAAACATATATACATCAATGATGTCTATTACACCTTCTAAAACACACTGGTCAGACATCTATATCCTGATACTAAAAAAAGAAGAATCTGTGCTTATTTCTCACTATATGCACTATCTCATCAGATTCTACAGGTTCAGTTTTTATCTCTATAAAGATAACTCCCATATCTACATCCAGCTAAAGTACCTCTTCTGAGCTCCAGCTGCACATTGTCACCTGCCTATTGGACATTTCAAACAGGATGTCTCATAGGTTAAATATGTCCTAAATTTATTATCTTTCCCTCCAAGCTCACCCTTCCTTCTCTATTTTCTTTATTTTTTATTTTTAATTTCTTTTTTTAGGCAATTGGGGTTAAGTGATTTGCCCAGGGGTCACACAGCTAGTAAGTGTCAAGTGTTTGGTCTGAGGCCGGATTTGAACTCAGGTCCTCCTGACTTCAGGGCCAGTGCTCTTTCCACTGCGCCACCTAGCTGTCCCTTCCTCTATTTTTATAGAAAGCACTAACATTGTCCTACTCAATTAGGGTTTGCAACCTCAGTCATCCTCAATTCTTCTCACTTTCTTACTCAGCATATCCATTTAGTTGTCAAGTTTTGATGATTCTATATCAAAATATCTATAACATCTCTGTCATCATCTAGATCACTTGTACAACATCTCTCAAAGTCCTTATCACCTCTTGCCCTTGACTTTAATTTTAAAGTGTTTCCTTAAAAAAATTTCATATTTTTCACTCATTAAAAGTTCATCTTTTTTCCCCTCCCACAAATGAAAATGAAAGATAAGATCCCCTTTATAAACAAGTATAGTCAAGCAAAACAAACTTCCACAAAAACCACATCTCATTCTGCACTAAGTCCTCTCTATCAGGAGCTGGGTAGCATGTTTCATCATCAGTCCTCTAGATTGTGGTTGGCCATTACAATGATTAGAGTTCCTAAGTCTTTCAAAGTTGTTTGTCTTTACAATACTGTTATCATTGCATAAATTGTTTTCCTGGTTCTATTCACTTTACTCTACGTCAGGTCATACAAGTCTTCCAGGTTTCTTTGAAACCACCCTATTTATAATTTCTTACATCACCAGTATTATTCAATCACATTTATATGACATAACTTGTTCAGTCTTTTCCTAATTGATGGGGACCTCCTCAGATTTCCTTTCCCTGCCACCTCAAAAAGTGTTATGAATATTTTTTAAACATCCTTAAGAGTCTGTTTTGCTTAGGACTAATTCTCCCCTTCCTCTAATTCTTCCTTCTCCCATCTCCCCTTTCCCTCTCACTTTCCAGCTCTGAGTGAAACGTATTCATGTACCCAATTCTGCGCATGTGTATTCTTCCCTCCTTTAACAAGTTCAGATGAAAGTGAGGTTTAAATTATTTGCAAGTCACAACCCTCATATCCTCTTCCTTGTTTGTAGAGATGTCTACTTGTATACCCCAAATATTCAAGATAATTTTCCATAATCTTCCCTCTCATTCCCTTAATTCCCCAATGTATTCATCTTACCCTCTTTTCATTCTTCTCTCAAGATCATCAAGACAAAATCAGAACCATTCTTAATGGCTTTGTCTAATCAGACTCCCTCTACAGCCTCTGATGATGATACAATTCAGAGGGGAAGAAAATATCATCTCCCCATATTTGAATATAAGCATTTTATCCTTGTTGAGTTTCTTATGATTGTCAGTGTTTCTACATAGCTCTGGTCTTTTCATCAAGAATTTTTGGAAGTCCTTTATTTCATTAAAAATCCACTTTTTTTTTTCTCCTGCAAGATTTTACTAAGTTTTGCTGGGTAAATTATTCTTGGCTGTAAGCCCATATTCTTTGCCTTCTGGAATACTGTATTCCAAGTTTTCTGCTTTCTAGTGGTGACTAGTAAATTGTATGTGATTGTGGATCCTTGAATTTCTTCTTTCTGGCTGCCTGTAGTACTTTTTCTTTGACTTGGAAGCTCTGGATTTTGTCTGTAATGTTTTTGGGAGTAATTCTGGATTTTCTTTCAGGAGGTTAGGAGGGAATTCTTTATATTTTCACTTTGCCCAACTAAAATCCCCTATTCTACAGGAAACCTTCCCTAATGCCAGTTCCAGTGCTTTCCTTCTTGTAATTATTTCTGATTTTATCCTGTACATAGCTTGCTTTGTATATATTTGTTTACATGCTGTCTTCCCCGTTAGAGTATAAGCTCCTGGAGGGCAGAAACTGTCTTCTGCCTCTTTTTGTATCCCCAGCACTTAGCACACTTCCTGGCACATAGTAGGCACTTAATAAATGTTTATTGAATTGAATTATTCTAAAAGATCTGGACCATTTTCTTTTAAGATTTATTGAAATGACATCTAGCTTTTAATTTTGGTCATGGTGTTCAGTCTACTGATTTCAATTTTTTTCCTTGATCTGTTTTCTAGGTCAGTTGTTTTAGCTATGAAATACCTTGTATTTTCTTATATTTTTTTCAGTCTTTTCACTTTAATATTTCTTGTTGTCTCATGGAGGCATTGGCTTCCATTTGGTCCATTCTAATTTTCAAGAATTTTCATGTTTGGGCAAGGTTTTGTATCTCTTGTGTCAAGCTGTTAATTCCCGTTCCAATTCTTTCTTCCATAGCTTACATCTCTTTCCAAATTTTTTACCTCTAGTATTCTAATTTCATTAATGAAAACATTTTGAACACTTTAAAAAACGAAAAAGAAAAGGACCAAAATACAAAAATATTTACAGCAGCTCTTTTTGTGGTGGCAAAGAACTGGAAATTGAGGGAATGCCCATCAGTTGGGGAATGGCTAAACAAGCTGTGGAATATGATTGTGGTGCAATACTACTGTCCTATAAGAAATGATGAGCTGGTTGATTTTAGAAAAACATGAAAAGACTTGCATGAAATAATGAAGACTGAAATGAGCAAAACCAAGAGAACGTTGTACACAGTAATAACAATACTGTTCTAAGGAACAACTTTGAACAACTATTTGAGTATTATTAATACTCAAATTTATTATTAATACTCAAATTAACTGCAAAGGTCCTATGAATTAAGATGCTATACATGTTTAGATAAAGAGCTGATAAATATAAATATGTATAGTCTAGTTTTACACATATACATATTTGTGTCTAATGGTAGCCTTCTCTAGGGCGGGGGAGGGGAGGAAGGGAGAAAAAAGAGTACACAGTAGAGAACAAAAGAAAACTTAGAAGGAAGCTCAGAACAGCAAGGTAGCTTTGAAAATGATGTGTAGTATTACATAGTTTAAAAAAAAACAACGTGAAACGGAAATTCATGGTTTTATGTTGACTCCTCTTTTTATGTTGTGCTGTGTACATGGAAATCTCTTTTTTTTTGTATTTAAATTCAAAATGAATAAAATTTTTTTAAAAAGACTTACATGAACTGATGCAAAGTGAAGTGAGAAGAACCAGGAGAACACTGTACACAGTAACAGCAATATTGTATTATGATCAACTGTGAATGACTTAGCAATTCTCAGCAATCCAATGATCCAAGTCAATTCCTAAGGCCTTACAATGAAAAGTGCTATCCATCTCCAGAGAAAGAACTGATGGAGTCTGAATGTGGATCGAAACTTTTTTTTTTTAACTTCCTTTGGGTCTGTTTTCTTTCACAACATGACTAATACAGAAATGTTTTGCATGACTGTACATGCAAAACCTATGTCACTTGCCTGCTCAATGAGGAGGGACAGGAGGAAGGGAGAGAATTTGGAACTCAAAATTTTGTAATATAGATGTTAAAAATTGTTTTTACATGTTAAGTGGGAAAAAACAAAATATTAAATAAATATGACAAGATTGTTGTTGTTGCTCATTCTAGCCTTCTTCCTGATTGTGGACTTGATGTTAGGACTGGGCTCAGTGTATTTCTGCAGGAAATGTCTGAGATAGTCCTGCTACTGCTATCTTGGGGTAATGAATATTGAATTATTCCAGGATTTCAGGGACTATTCAGGCTAGAGATCTCTTTTGTTTAGTATTTTATCTTTCCCCAATTATAAGTAAAAACAATTTTTAACATTCGTTTTCAAAACTTTTGAGTTCCAACTCCCTTCCTCCCTCTTCTGCACTCCCCCCATTGAGAAGGCAAGCAATTCAATATAGGTTATACATGTGTAGTCATGCAGAACATTTCCATGATAGTCATGTTGTGAAAGAAAACATAAACCAAAAAAACCTCAAGAAAATTAAAGAAAGTAAAAAAAAAAATGTTTCAATCTGTATTCAGACCCCATCAGTTCTTTGTCTGGGGATGAACAGCATTTTTCATCATGAGTCCTTCAGAGTTGTCTTGGATCATTGTTTTGCTGAGAATAGCTAAGTCACTCCCAGCTGATCATCTTGCAGTAATGTTGTTACTTTGTTTTGCCACTGGACCCAGATGGCTCCGGAGGAGAGAGTGAGGCTGGTGACTCTGCACAGCCCCGCCTCACTTAAATCCAATTCACTTGCAAGTCATGGCATCGCCTCCCTGATGTCATGGTCCTCTTCGAGAATGAAGGACAAACAACAACAACAACAATGACAACACTTTGTACGCGGTACATGTCACTTTGCAACAGCTTTGGTAAGTCTTTCCAGGTTTTTTAAAGAACATGCTGCTCATCATTTCTTACAGCATGATAATGTTTCATCACAGTCACATACCACAACCTGTTTAGCCATTCCCCAATTGAGGGGCATACCCTCAATTTCCAACTCTTTGCCACCAGAAAAAGAAAGAGCTGCTATAAATATTTCCATACCTATAGGTCCTTTTCTTCTTTGTTTTTATCTTTTTGGATTCAGACCTAGTAGTCAAAGGGTATATGCATGATTTTATAGCACTTTGGGCATAGTTCCAAATTGTTCTACAGAATGGTTGAATCAGGTCACAATTCCACCAACCATGCATTAATGTCTCATTTCCCCCCCATCCCCTCATACATCTGTC